GAACGTACTTTTAAGGCCGCCGTGATTTGCGATCTCCAGCAGTTTTTTTTTTACTCATTTTGCGAGCTCCTGCGTTTTGTTTTGAAGTAATCGGTCACGTGATGGAGAAGCGTGGCTTGACGTGTGTCAAGCGTGACACAGACGGATGTAACGGAGAATCCGGTAGTTTTTCAAAATAAAACATCTTTCGTATTCCGAAATAAAACTGAATTAAGTCAAGTTCTTTCTGTGCGGCCCGGTACCAAATGCCCGGCGGACCGGTACCGGTCCGCGGACCGGCGGGTGGGGGGCCCCCCTGTGAAGGCACAGATTTCCGCGGACCGGCGGTTGGGGACCCCTGCTGTAAAGTACAAGTTTCATTGGCTAAACCCACAGGGTGATTTGGCATGGAATGATCCTCTCATCAAATTTCATTACACTTGTTTTAAGGTGAATAACGGGTTTTTTAATTAACAGCACACAAAAAAAAAAAATTAGCAAAGGTTGTAACGTCTTATTTCAATATGGCCAACTACCGAGATCTCTGAACCATTTCCCACCATGCTTTGCCTCCAGTACCTGCTCAGCCGAGATGAGGTGGCGAAGGAGCTAAGGAAGTCTCAGACAGCTCTAGTTTGAAGCAACTTCAAGTGACGCTAACCACTGAGCACTGGCCTAACCACACTGCATCTACTCCAACGAGCCACTGCAGTCAACGTAACGTGGAACACGATACAATTTGGAGTGGAAAAAAAAAAACGGATTCACCATCATTGTGGTCCCAGTTTGACACTGTACCATACTGTACCCGTGAACATGTTTAGCCGTCTAATGCAATGCCGCAAGTGAGTGTCAGTCATCACATCAGTCTTATTGTGTGTTTCATTGCAGTGCATGAGTGTGTAGGTTTTGATCTAATGTGGTAAAAAGCAATAAAATACACAAATACCTCAACTCTTTTAACAGAACGTGTGAGATATATGTCGTGTAAAAATAACATTTTGTTAATGACCTCTTTACCCAGTAACTACTATGACTGATTGACTTTTACTAGAATTCACATCGGATGCTATTTTTTGAAGCCACGTGTTTTGTGCCAGTCCACACAGGTAGTGTAGGGGCACATGCAGAAGTTGTCATGCAGATGACACACGTTTAATTCCCAGTCAGTGCATCGACACCAGCGGAGCTGGCAAAAATAGGTGGAATTGCATCAGGAATTGAGGATGTGAAAACTGCCAAACAAGTCGTGAGTGACTCACTGTGATGATAGGAGATTTGGTGCTGGCCCCAACCATGCTGACCTACAACAGGTGGTGTTGTATACTGTGGACAGATAGTGAGATTTACTTCATAAAGAGATATCTTACTATTACAAAGATGGATGTGTTCAAGGGATCTGTTCATGGAGTTCATTTGCAAGTGTTTATTCAATTTTTCTGTTTTCTAAAGGTGGACTCAATTTGACTCTCATGCTGATCAAAAAATACCTAAGAAATCACAAGTCATTTAAAACAGCAATACTTCTCACAGTAAGTCACAGTGGCTGTGTCAACAGCCATTTGAAGGGCTATGCATTTGACAAAAGTTTTTTTTTAAAAAATACGCATGATGCTCTTCACTCCCTGAGCTCTCAAAGGGGTTTGGGCACTCCCAGACCCCTTTGAGAGCCAAAAGCTGTGTGTACGCCCATATCTCATAACTTGCAGTTAGTCCAAGTCATTTTCTCTTTAGAGGTTTTTTTTTTTTAAATTCAGCAACCCCAGTGTGTAGCACATGTCATATCATTGGTTTTATTTCTGTCTCATTTGCCAGGAAGCTGCGCCACTTATGACAATGCACATCTGTGTAAAAATGTTTTTAAAAAGTCATTCAACATTGTGCAAAGGAGTCACTATAACACAATTTTGCAATAATAATAAATATATTTGAAGAGACTCAGACAAGTTATGATTTTCATTGAATAAAAAGCAAGATTCCACAAGTTGCTTCATGTTCTAATTAAGTTGCACTTAATTTGAAAAGGAACAATATCCTGTCACTCTCACCAACATCAAAGACGAATGGAGCCTTGTGGCAAAAATATTACCCCAACACAAATCTATAACTCAATGTTTCGCACTCCATTTAATGCTATAGTAATATATCTCTGGACGTTAGTGTATAATTACTGTATCAATCAATAATTAAGATTCAGCAATATTTGTATGTGGTGAACATATTTGTCCGCTGTTATGTTAATTAACTTGGGTATTTTAAAAAAAGCGTGATTTTTTTTTTCTGTATATTTAGAACGGATATAAAAAGTGGGATTAACTTGCGATTAATGGCAAGTTAACTATGGAAAATTGTAAATGACTGCCAATCTTAAAATTATAGATACACACATTCATCCATCTATTTTGTAGTCCACTTACCCTCACAACGGGTCGTGGGTGTGCTGGTGAGCATATCCGCCTCACAGTGCAGAGGTGCAAGGGTTCAATTCCGGCTCCGGCCTTCCTGTATGGAGTTTGCTTGTTCTCCCTGTGCCAGCGTGGGTTTTCTCCGGGTACTCCGGTTTCCTCCCACATTCCAAAAACATGCATGGCAGGTTGATTGAGCACTCCAAATTTTCCCTCGATGTGAGTGTGAGCCAAAATGGTTGTTTGTCGATGTGTACCCTGCGAGTGACTGGCAACGAAATTCAGGGTGTACCCCCACCTACTGCCCAAAGACAGCCTGGATAAGGTCCAGCCCCCCCCCCCCCCCCCCCCACCCCTACCCACAACAGATTGGAAAATGGATGGATGGATGGATGGATGGATGGATGAATGGAGATGGCTGCATTATCTTGCACAATGGCTCAAACGCCCTCTTATATCTGTGCTAGCCGAGCAAAATACTATCAGAAAGAGAACTCTTAACTATCCACACAGTTAGACTGCACTTTGGCGAGACTTGCGCCAGGCATGAAAAAAGGGCCCTTGACTTCAGTTGTTGCTGCAACTAGTTTTTAGATTCAAGGAGCAGCTACTTTTTCACACAGGGCCAAGTAACGTGGAATAGTTTTTGTGTTTTCATTAAAAAAATAATAATGAATAAAACATTAAAACACCATTTTAAAAACTACATTTTGGGTTGACTTGGTTTTCTTTGACTCTTATTTACATTTGATAATTGTAAACATTTAAGCTCGGAAACTATGCTATGGAAAAAAACAAAACAAAACATTTTTTTAAGAAGGCAAATACTTTTTGCGGCATTGTATTTAACTATGCATGTACATGTACATTGTGTTTTGCATCAGAGTGGTCTATCTGGCCTTCTGCTGCATGGTTTGTCAAGTTTCTGTTTTTAGAAATGAGGAAAGACAAAAGAATCACCGGATAGTGTTCTAATTAAATAATGTATGAAATTGCTCATGCCAGTTTTGATGTTCACTTTCCCAGTCCTTGAAACTCTCCATTTTCTTTTTATCGCTGTTAACTTTTGCTCCACTTTTGACAACCAACGTCCTCATTCGAGCCTCCCTTGAAAAACAGAGAAAGGGAACTTGTTTACCTGTCAAACCCTTCAGGCCAACCACAGTCGAGAAAAAGCTTCTTCGAGTTTCTAACTGGTAAGATAACTTTTTGTTGACTTACGTAAAATGGCGTAAATGACAAAAACCCCACCCTTGCGAACACTTTCACCTCCCATTTGAAGCTGGGATGGAAAGTCCTTCGCTGTACTGAAAGTCCTGTACACACCCAAAAAAAAAAAATTAACACACACACCTTGTGTACATGAGCAGGCGAGGGAAGAGGAGCAGAGGAACTGGACTTGGAACGGCTTAAAACATCCGGGGCCGTCCTAGGTAAGCTCCATATTTTTAGCAAATAAATGTTTTTTTTTTGCACAAATTTGTGACAGTGACTATAATGAAAGTTGCAGCGCTCCATATGGCAGTACATTTGAATCTGTTGAATCCGCCATTCCAAAACATAACTGCATTTGTTGTGCACATTGATCTTTTATCCCTGATGATGCCATATTGCTGCTTTCGCCGCATTCTACTGAGCAGTCAGGACAAAGACTAAGTTGTAGTGAATTCCATTTCTGGTACCATGCATGGTCATTGACAATGACAATGATGGTCACAAAATCTTATGGAAAACACGGAAGTCTCGCAGGATTTGCTCAAGATCATTTTGATTGAAATCCACATTGTATGACTTCAAAATTTTCCCTTTGGGAGGTTCCACTGTGCTGCGTACACATCAGCAGCTCTCTAACTGCACTGGTACCTTTACTTTCAAGTTTAATTCCTTCCCAACTGGAATGAATGGACATAGAATTTCCAAAACAATTTAATTTCCACTCATAAATAAAAATGGAAATAAACATTTAATTTCTTGTATCTACTAAACTGTTTTTGCCTTATTCACCTTAATGTCCTCACTTTCAGCGGCTTCTCAATGTATCTGGATAATACCGTAAATAAAATAAATAAATAAATACATCTAATTTGTGTCGAGGTTTGTATCTTTTTTGAAATTTTTTCACTGACCTCGGCAGGTGTTTATCATTTATTTACTTTATTTATTAACTCCTTGTGCTTCTGTTCAGTACATAACGTAGAAGAAGCCGACGGTGCTCATATTGCTTCGGATCTTCGACTGCACACACATCTCACACTTTTCTCTGATTTCTAGCTTTAATTCAGTGGACATTATCCGCTTGTTCAAAAGCACAAACCTTCTTAGGAAACATGGTTAGAAAAAAGACATTTGGCAAAAACACAAGCTCAAAATGTAACAGATGCCGTCAGTTTCACTGCAGTGTAACCATGCGAACGGATGGGGGCCGGATGTTGTGATTGCTCAAACTTTTGCTCACAATACAAAGCAAAAAAAAAAAGAAAAAGAAAAGAAAAGACCCACTGGTATTTAAATCGGGGCCCTCACAAGGCAGTGTTGTACGTCGTTGCTAAAATCAAGTTCGACTCATCTCATTCCTACTCTTCTCCGCAGTGTATCGGTGAGACCCCACTCTGATCTTCACTGTCCGTCGAGCATGGGGGAGAACATGAGTAAACCCTCCGCTAAGCCCTTTCAGGATGTCACCTTCTTCACCTCTTTCAAGCCCTACAACCCTCCCGCCACCAATGACGCCGCACCACCTCGACCAAGCATCTTCTCCACGCTAAGACGGCCCCCGGTGGCCAAACCCAATGATTTCATCCCTCTCTTCAGTGACTGCATCACCGCTGCCTCATCCCGAACTCAGGAGTACCTCATCTTCAAGGACCCAGAGGACAAGTTCCACCCCAGCCCAGACGCCCTCACTCAGGTAATATGCGGGCGCTGCACTACACCAGGGCTAGTGGGTGCAATCATTCCATCATAAACCTGTATAGCCGCAGTGAAGCCCCTCCAGCCTTGTAGTTTATATTTAGAATTTTTTTCATTTAATTAAGTTTGAAAACATTAAGAAGCTCACAAGTAGCCATTCTTTCGCGCAAGAAGGACCAACAGAATCAACATTGCCTGACTGCTGTGTTCAAAGCAAACTTGAGAAAAACGAAGTATCCAACCATGGCTTAAATCCACTATAGGCTGAGTACTAGTTTAGCTTAGATGTGCACTTTATAATTTTATATCGCTCTGTTTTGATTCCCTAAAAAGAGCTATTAAAGGAGCTGTTGTGTGACAAAATATTTTTTTCACTGTTGTTGATGGACAGTAATATTGTGTGAGAGATTATGTGCGAATAACTGCTCCAAGTGAAAAATGTTCATGTAAAATTGAAAATCGAAATTGTTATTTCAGTAAATATTTGCATTTTGCACAAAGAAAACTGATTCATGATTCCATGTTGATGAGAGCATTAAAACGGGAAAAAATAGGACAAAAATATAAAAGGAAATTCAGAAACGATAAAAAATGTGTGAGTAATCACGATTAATTCAGAGTTAATTTGAGTTAATTATGACAGTTGTGTTTTTAATCAGATTAAATATTTTAATCGTTTGACAGCTCTAATATATACATATATACATATATTAATAACACGCAACCAGACACACAAATGCTTTGGGTTTTTTGTTCCCCTCTACACCCCTCGCAATCACATTGGGACCAGTTCGCAAGCTCGCGGTAGATCATGATCGCCGTATTGGGCACCACCGGTGTAAAGTCATTTCAGAGATTTGTTTCTAAATGTATTATACTTTACATGAAAATGTGAAAAGCCTGAAAACTGTGTAACTCACTTCACTGCCAAAACCATTTCGGTTTTCCTGATTTTGTGGGTTTTTTTGAGGGGTGGGGGGCATGGAGCCCAGCATTTTGGCATCAAAGATGAGTCGTCCCTCCCACTAGATATCACGAGTGAGTGACTCCATTCGCATCAGTGGTTTTCCAGCGCAAATGTGGCATGCCATTGCCTCACTAGCTTTGCCAACACCCGAAATGCATCACCCCTTCGGATAGCATGCAGTTATGGCCGCTTTAGAGCACCATGTTGTCTCCTTTTTTTTTCTTCTTTTTTTAAAATTAGTAGTACTTAGTAGCCAGGAAAGAGATTCGTACACTACTTTTCGGTGTCCATGTCCAGTTCTCTTCTTTGCTGTCACTTGTGCACACTGTCACCGCGGCGTAATCACAAAAAAGAGGTCGTACATATTTGAACGTATTTGCAAAGTATGTTAGAACGTTTTGCTAAAACATAGGCAAAAGGCTAAAAATACAGCATTTTTTTTTTTCTCATCCCTCTCTTCAGTGACTGCATCACCGCTGCCTCATCCCGAACTCAGGAGTACCTCATCTTCAAGGACCCAGAGGACAAGTTCCACCCCAGCCCAGACGCCCTCACTCAGGTAATATGCGGGCGCTGCACTACACCAGGGCTAGTGGGTGCAATCATTCCATCATAAACCTGTATAGCCGCAGTGAAGCCCCTCCAGCCTTGTAGTTTATATTTAGAATTTTTTTCATTTAATTAAGTTTGAAAACATTAAGAAGCTCACAAGTAGCCATTCTTTCGCGCAAGAAGGACCAACAGAATCAACATTGCCTGACTGCTGTGTTCAAAGCAAACTTGAGAAAAACGAAGTATCCAACCATGGCTTAAATCCACTATAGGCTGAGTACTAGTTTAGCTTAGATGTGCACTTTATAATTTTATATCGCTCTGTTTTGATTCCCTAAAAAGAGCTATTAAAGGAGCTGTTGTGTGACAAAATATTTTTTTCACTGTTGTTGATGGACAGTAATATTGTGTGAGAGATTATGTGCGAATAACTGCTCCAAGTGAAAAATGTTCATGTAAAATTGAAAATCGAAATTGTTATTTCAGTAAATATTTGCATTTTGCACAAAGAAAACTGATTCATGATTCCATGTTGATGAGAGCATTAAAACGGGAAAAAATAGGACAAAAATATAAAAGGAAATTCAGAAACGATAAAAAATGTGTGAGTAATCACGATTAATTCAGAGTTAATTTGAGTTAATTATGACAGTTGTGTTTTTAATCAGATTAAATATTTTAATCGTTTGACAGCTCTAATATATACATATATACATATATTAATAACACGCAACCAGACACACAAATGCTTTGGGTTTTTTGTTCCCCTCTACACCCCTCGCAATCACATTGGGACCAGTTCGCAAGCTCGCGGTAGATCATGATCGCCGTATTGGGCACCACCGGTGTAAAGTCATTTCAGAGATTTGTTTCTAAATGTATTATACTTTACATGAAAATGTGAAAAGCCTGAAAACTGTGTAACTCACTTCACTGCCAAAACCATTTCGGTTTTCCTGATTTTGTGGGTTTTTTTGAGGGGTGGGGGGCATGGAGCCCAGCATTTTGGCATCAAAGATGAGTCGTCCCTCCCACTAGATATCACGAGTGAGTGACTCCATTCGCATCAGTGGTTTTCCAGCGCAAATGTGGCATGCAATTGCCTCACTAGCTTTGCCAACACCCGAAATGCATCACCCCTTCGGATAGCATGCAGTTATGGCCGCTTTAGAGCACCATGTTGTCTCCTTTTTTTTTCTTCTTTTTTTAAAATTAGTAGTACTTAGTAGCCAGGAAAGAGATTCGTACACTACTTTTCGGTGTCCATGTCCAGTTCTCTTCTTTGCTGTCACTTGTGCACACTGTCACCGCGGCGTAATCACAAAAAAGAGGTCGTACATATTTGAACGTATTTGCAAAGTATGTTAGAACGTTTTGCTAAAACATAGGCAAAAGGCTAAAAATACAGCATTTTTTTTTTTCGTCATAGCACAGGGTATTGCGCAAGTCAATAACTCCTGACATTGTGGTAAAAAAGACGGAATGGATATCAAGCACTGTGGGAAAAAATGACAAATACATAATGTTTACTTAATTTTCAAACGCATGAGTATAAGGTAGGGCAAATGTTAAACACTTTGCATTTTTTAGCATTAACTTGCAATTAAGTCAATACCCTGTGGCTTTATGGGAGAAAATCTGTTTTTAGCATGTTGCCTACATTTTATCAATATGTTCGAAGGTGCTTTGTAAATACAGTACAGTATGTCCAAATAAGTTTGCCAGTCAAAAACGTTTATTCCACAGCGGCAGTTCCACGCTTGTGGTATGTATCATAATTTTACAAAAAAAAAAAAAAAAATGAGAACCTCTCAAGTACAGTATGCAAAGTCATGATTTTTTTTCCCCCTCAGCCGCAGGAAAGACATTTTATTTAATTTTTTAAAATAAATTAGCAAAAAATCTGGGGTATCGTGAAAAATTTAGAGTGGGGGGTGGGGGGAATAAAATAAATACATAAATAATTCATGAGTAAAAGTAATAAGTTGCCGGAAACTTAAATACTCAAGTAAGTAAATTTGTTCTTCCCACCAACGACCGTGTCCAATTTCTTTGAGACGAATTGCCCTTATGTATGTCTTGCAGATCTTCCTAATGACCTACATCTCCCAGAGCGTCAACCTCAACCTGACCGACATCTTTAACTGCACGGCCATGACCCCCGAGCAACGCATCCTGCTGGGGGCTGACTGGGTGTGGGCCGTGTTGGAGAAGTCCACCAAGAACCCTCGCATCCAGATCGCCGTGCAGGTGCTCCACCTGTCCGACAAGGAGGGCGGCGAAGAGGACGGCGTTCTCCCGGAGACGTGCAGCGAAAGCGTCCAAATGGCACAGAGGGAGTCCAGCGACAGGAACATGTACGAGAGGATGGTGGACTTCTGCACTTCGGTCGGCAAGGACTGCTACGCTCTATTCTTGTTCTTCGGGAGGAAAAACGACAAGAGCAATATCTACGGTGTTCTCAGCAACAACTTCGAAGCGGCCATCGGGAAGTGCGACAAGATCGATAGAGCTCTTCTGGAGAACTTCTTCAAGGGGTCTCGGTACCTGCACACACCCTCCGGGATGATGCAGTCCATCGTCACTCGGAATGAGGGAGACCCGCTCACCCTCATGATTAAATTCAGCTGATGGCAAGATCTTGAGTTCAAGATAATCATATTCTCAAAAGCAATTCTTAGCACGCGTAACACCGGTGAGAAAGGGTGCGGAGTTCCAAGTCAAACACTCTCAATCGTTTTGTTCCAATTTCAGCACAAGGTTGTGATCAGAATTCAAATAATTATTGCTAGCATAAATCCATCGCCTTTGTAAAACCTGAATTTGACTCATTGCAAGTAAGGTATGAACAGCCATGCAAGTGTAAATGTAAGTTAACGAATGCATATTATGTTGATTGAAAAATAATTTCCAAGGATGGTCACTTCTCTGGCTTTCTGTGACTCTTCCAGTATCTCTGTTGCAACGAAGCCAATTGTGAGACTTCAAACCGGGTGTTCTCAGAGGGAAGTGGCCACTGAGCTTTTACGGTCAGCATTTCATCTCCAAGAGAGAGAAAGCGAGGCAAAGGGAGGGGGGTGGGGGGGGGGAGAGTCACATAAACGACATTCTTGTAAACAAATACTTGTTTTGTTCTAAATTTTGCCAGTCAGTTCCTTGTTCGACAACATCAAGGTGTGCCCGAAACATTGAGCAGCTGGACCAGCAGCATTGAAAAGTTGAGAAAAGGTCAAATTAGGTTCGGCTGTCAAGATTAGCGTCTTTGCGGTTAATCCTGAAATTTCCTGCCAAAACCCAAGATCCTGAACTTTATGTTGAGTAGTGTACTTGATGAATGCAGCGATAAATATGGAAACTGTCTCTGCAAAAATCACTCACCACCCTCCTCATACATAGACAGCTGACTTCACCCTTTAGGCGCCAGAGTTTTGTCAAGAAAATATTCAGTTTTGATTATTTCTAAAGTGTATAGCTTGAAAATAGATAGAGTCATGCCCACTGTAAATGTTGCATTTTTGCTACTTTGGCACCAAAGGGGATAAGACATTTATTTTTTATTGCTGTTTTTTTTTTCCATGGGTCAAGGATAGATACTTGAATAAATCCGCTCAAAAAGGTTACAAAAATGCAACAATTGCCACTGATATTTTGAAGGTATTGACTTCAGTTAGCGTTGCCTAGCGAATTAAAAATAAAGCAACTTGAAAAAAAATTTTCATAAATCGCATTGAGCATTGGGGGTGTGAGACTCATGCCCACAACAATGCCGTGTTCTGTTGCCACTGAGAGTCGGAAAAATCCATCTGTGCCCATGGCCGCCATGCTTTTCTTACATGCATCCGAGTTGAGACTGAATCATCGAGCGCCGATGCTCATTTCAGCCAATGAGGCTTTAAAATATGGATACAGGGGTTCACGGTTTATGACGGAACAAGCCGAATTGATATTATGGCTCGTAGTACTTAGCAGCCAGGAGATTCATCCAGCCTTCCTTGCTGTCACTTGGGACCTTCTGTGGTGTAATCACCACCCGCCCCCCCAAAAAAACCTAAACTCCTGCAAAAGCCATCAGTGTCTTATTATGAAGTCTTGCAAGATTTGCTGATTTGACATCACACAGGATGGTTTTTCTCGCTTCTGTGTGACATCAGAGACAGATTTAGCTGAAAACTGAAGTTGAATTTTTAAAGTCCAGCTTTGGGGTTTGCATTTCGTGGCTCCTCTGTATGGTGTCCCACTACGGATGGCATTTTGCTGTATACGCTGTACGTACCAATTGTCTTTTTTTCCTTCTCAATATAATATAAGGCTCAAGACCTAAAGTTGTTTAAAAACTTGATGAATAAAATCCCAAAGGTTTTAAAGTAATGTTTTTTTTTCCCCAATTCCACTGCATTCTTTGCCTCCAAAATGCAACAATGTGAAATCAAGACCCATGAACGGGGCCTTTTACTCAAATGTACACACAATACGGTAAAGTCACAAGCTTGGAACAAGATTTGTCTTATTTCAAGAGTAGAATTCACCCAAACTTTAATGAAGCCTGCAATGCTACACACGTTAAACCAAAGAAGCAAAGTCTGTCACATATTGGTGTCCCACTCCCTGGAACAGTAATTCGATTGACGACAGCTGTTTGTCAAGGTGCCTTGTTGAGTGGAGGTATCAAGAACGCCTCGAAGTTCCTTTGGGAAGATATTCAAAAAGTGTGTGCAATGTATCGTCGCCCAGCCTAAGTCAGACAAGTTTGGCAATATTTACTTAGAGCGCATACAAATGACACTTAAGTTTGTGACCACAGCATTGCTAATATTTGCACTGTGGGACGAAACCCTCTAGTGACTAGAGGGGTTCGTGATATGGGACTAGACTCTAGTCATGGGACCAGAGTCTAGTCTCAAGTCACAAGTCATGAACAGTTTCCTTTTGGTGGTGAGCTTCCTTTTCAACTTATTTTATACTTCACACTAAATTTGTGGTTGAATATTTTTGTCTCTGTTATATCCGTTTCATAAATGTCTTTTCTTCACACTCATGAGACAGGGTACGAGTACAAAGGCATCCTTGTGTCTGGAATTTGACCTAAGTTTTGATTTTATTTTTGTTGAACACTTTAGAAGGAAATGAATATGAAAACACGGACGGGGTGACCAGAGGAGTAAATAAAAAATATGATACGTAAAAGTAAAATTACAAGGTAATAAAAAATATTAAGAAAATCATGAAACTTTTTTTTTTGTTTTAATCTGGAAAAGAGTCGTACTTTCCCAAATGTTTCACGACCTACTTTCAAATTTCACATACGGTGCGGCATTGCGATATTTTCTCTGTCGAAGGTGTGTCATAGTTCATCTCTGACAGTCTTTTCTTCTTTGTTGCCATCACGCTGACACGTACACCCATTTGCGTGTTCATCCGACAGAGGCACCGGCTCCATGTCGGCGTGGCGGCTCGGCCGGCCCGACTGCCGTCGGGCATACGTCAGCAGCACTCTGTAGTAGTAACAGTAGAGTCTGCTAGGGCGCAGCAGCTCGCGGGCTGCGGCCTGACCGGCCTTGGCCATCTTTCGCGCCTCGGCATCATTCTCTTTCGCCCATTTGATTTTTTCCAACAGGTCTGACAGGTTTCTCTTAAAGGGGAGGTAGTGGGCGCCAGCTTTCAGACTACTGTAGAAATGTTCATAGTAGGGCGAGTCCTGCTTCAGAACAAGACTGTTTCCAAGCATCAGGTAAGGGAAACGATACGCCGCCACCGTACCGTCCACGTTCACCTGGTACTTGTACTGAGGAGAACAAAACATGGTGAATAAAGAAACACGCATGCTTTCGCACTTGGATCCAATGACCTGACGCTCACCTTAAAGAAATCAAAGAATCCAACAAGCGGCGCTTTGCCAACATGTTTCTCTCGGTCTCTGAAAAAGAACCATCCTGTGATGCCGGCATCCAGAAGCTCGGGATGTTTCTTGGACAGAGAGACCAGCTGGAGACGTTCCTCTCGGCTGTCCCTGCCACGGAAAAATGCCCGATTGGTTTTGTTTACCCACGAGGAACCTGAAAGAGATTGTCCAGAGTTTTGCTTTTATTTGGTCCAAACGCGATTAAATCCATCACATTGGCGGCTACACTAAATTTTTCTCATTCTTGACTCGAGTGGTGTTGCACTTCCCGATAGCTGTATGATTATGTCTTCAGCTTGGCAGAAATCATATTTTCACATACTTGACATGATGAATGTTATTTGTTTACAGTATGCACTATTAATTATAAAAGTCTGTCCACAATATAGGAGTCAGAAGTGTAGGGGGTACAATGTTTAATAATGAAATGCATGCTATGTACATATACCGTATTTTCCGCACCATAAGGCGCTTTGGAGTACAGTATAAGGCGCATCTTCAATGAATGGCCTATTTTAAAGCTGTTTTCATAAAGAGGACGCACCACATTATAAGGCGCATAGAATCGAAGCTAGGATAGGAGCTGCGGTTGCATTATGCATCCACAAGATGGTGCTATGCTAAAGGGAATACAATATAATACAATACAGCTTTATTAATATAGAGCCTTCACAACTGCTGCAGCTGTAGCAATGAGAACTGTTCACAAACATGGACATGAAACATTAAATACAAATGGCATTACAAAACAATAAATGAAAGACAAAAGTTATGATTTAACAAAAAGGCACAGAAACCTCATGGGCTCACATCGACAAGGGGCTAAATATCCTTCGAAGTCTTGCTTGTCTCCTGCTTCCTTCGTTTGGTCAGTAGTTAACTACGCTTTTGGTATTATCTCTGTTTCATAATGGCTGCGCAGAGATCACAAAGTAGCTGTCTGTTTGTTTGTTTGAGTGTGTGTTAGCCAGAACTATTTTAGGTTACAATTGGTGCCTGCTGATTATCACCACTAGATGGCATTGGAACACTAACAGGGAAACAACTCAAAGCGGAATATAAAGGGACTGTGATGCCATATATAAGGCGCATCGGATTATAGGGTGCACTGTTGGCTTTGGGAAAACTGAATGCTTTTAGGTGCGTTGAAGTACACCCTTGTCTGCATTACTAAGTAGATAAAAAGTTTTTCATGTTAATTCACGGTTTGTTTACCTTTATTTTAGCACAAGACTAACCTATAACATTAAAACATTCCTGCATAGTACATCTGATATTGTTTCTTGTAAAAAAAAAAAAAATGTATTGCTTGTGTTTGTTAAAATAAAACTGAACTATATGGGAAAAGAACCTTGAACATATAATCACATCTTAAATTGGACTTGCAATACTGAGGGGTATACCGTATTGGCCCGAATATAAAACGGCCCTGATTATAAGACGACCCCCTCTTTTTCAAGACTCATGTTTGAAAAAAGACTTTTTGAACACCAAATTAATTTTTATACAGAAAATAATTACAGTGCATCTGAAACAAATGATTACAACAATATATTTGAGAGAAAAAGCATGTTATTTTGCCTCATTCAAATCTAAAGTGCAATCACATTCGTAGATGTACTCGAAGGCTTAAGGAGATGATGGAGGGGGAGGAGAAGGAAGAGGAAGATTTTATATCATGGGGCCGAGAGGGTCTTCGTCGTCGCTGGAATGGGCTTCAAGAGTTACTTCCTCCTCCGTAATATCAATGAAGGAAGAAGTTGAGGGTCCAGGAGAAGAAGATGAGGGTTGACGAGTATCTTCCTTGGAGGGTGTAGTAGAAACTGGCCGAAAAAAGCGATCTAACATGATTGCAGTTTTCTTCTTTTTCTCATCATAAATGATGCAGTAGCACTGTATGGCATCATTCATTTGATTTGCAACCTTTGTGCAAAGTTCAATATTTGGGTCTTGCTGCTCGAACAGTGCGATGGCTTTATCTATGAGCGAAAACCCCTCGGCCAAGAGTTCCGTCTCGAATTTCTTCATGGGGACAGGCGTTTCCTCCTCCTCCTCCTCTCACAGCGCCTCACGTCGGTATAAGCGGCGGAAAGAAGCACTGCAGTACTCGGAAAAAGGCGCGTAATACAAAATGTAACTTACAGCATCTCTGTCTGAACATTTTTCGACATACGTGTACCCGCAAAAATGTTCGTATGTACCGTTGTTTGTAACTCGAATGTTCGTAAGTCGGGGAGCGTCTGCAATTTAAATGAATTTTAATGGGATTAATTTTTTTCTCGCGAGATTAACGCGGCAGACATCACAGCGGATGTTACATTGCTCTATAAATAAACCAGAAAAAAAACAAGTGCGCTGCACATGTCCACGCACGTTTGTTTTGCCAGCCACGGCAGCGCGAGACTCCGAAAACGGATACTTTAAGAGTTTATGAATGGAAAGTTTACTTTTAAAAAGTTGCCAGATTGTTCCACTGACAAGACCAAAGTCACCTGTATGTTTTGCAGTCGACGTCGAGTCTGAAATACCACTGAATGGCCAAGCACACAGCTGACGTGAGTACTCCTGCAACCATAGCTTAAATCCATGATTGGCTGAGTACTAGTTTAGCTTAGATGGGCACTTTATAATGTTATATTGCTCTGTTTTGATTCCATAAAAAGAGCTGTTAAAGCAGCTGTTGTGTGACAAAATATTTTTTTCACTGTTGTTGATGGACAGTAATATTGTGTGAGAGATTATGTGTGAATAACTGCTCCAAGTGAAAAATGTTCATGTAAAATTGAAAATCGAAATTGTTATTTCAGTAAATATTTGCATTTTGCACAAAGAAAACTGATTCATGATTCCATGTTGATGAGAGCATTAAAATGGGGAAAAATTTGACAAAAAATATAAAAGGAAATTCAGAAATTATAAAAAATGTGTGAGTAATCATAATTAATTTTTAGTTCATTTGAGTTAGTTATGACAGTTGCGTTTTTAATTAAATATTTTAATCGTTTGACAGCTCTAATATATATATACATATATACACACAGGTGTATATATATATTTTTTTTAAATAACAATTTGATTGTTTTTCAAAATCATTCAGTCCTACCTATGAGTATTGTTTTTATCATCTTCAACTGGGGCACTCAAAAATATACGTACATTGTTTGTGAGCTCATGGAACAGAGTGGCACGCCACTTCGGAACAAATACATACAAATGCATTCTTATATTTGCTCTTTGCCAAGCAGGAAGACAGTTCGTACAAGAATAGAAAAGGCATAGTGACGTTGCGCAAAACACAAACAGCGGGGGAACTCCAGATGTCTCCGTTATCCCCGCTGAACTCTGGCGTGACTCGGCAGCACGAATGCAGAGAAACAAAAGTTATTATGGAGATTTATTCCGTACAGCGCATCTGCTTTAGAGTTGTGACGAATTGCATGTACCCTTTGAATACAGCGGTTGAATTAGTGGGATGATGTCAGAAACATTTACAATGCGTGTTCAGCCAGGCACGGTAATAAATGTTTTTGTTTTTATTTTCCTCCTGATCTTTAAGGGCGTGGGCACATTTATTCTGATCTGATGGCTCAGATTTGCAGGTTACAGGTTATCATTATTGATGCATGAAAAGGTGAACATCAAAACTTTCTTCCGGTGACCCACGAGTGTGTTACCTGTGTTGCCTTGAACAGAAAGCAGGTCATTGGTGACGCCTCTCATGCTTTCCAGAGTTGAATGAGTGATCTCGTAGGTGGGGAGGACGATATCTCGTGAGTCTGTAGATCCGCACCAGGACAAAATCGGGACAGGGCCCGCATCAGCCGGCCTCGTCTCCAACGGCCAGTCGCCGACGTTGATGTAAAACTCGACATCGGGTACCCTCACCTTCACGGGTGTACAGTAACGATCCAGTCAGTGATCAAAAGCTACTCATGAAACATTTTCTTGAATGGTGCTTGAAAGATTGTGAATGCTGTACCTTCCTCGTCAGGGATAGCAGCATTTCATCAGAAAACATCTTGAAGTCGGTGTATTTTCCCAGCGCTCTGCGGTACAGACGATTATTCAGAATGGCGTAGTGAATGATGCCTCCTCGGTTTGCAAATCTTTGAGGCCCCTGCTCCCGGAGGCGCTGCAGGTCGATCGACGGGAACGATTTAAAGTCCGCCTCAATCTGAGGCTCGTCAAGTGGACACTGCATGACGCTCTGCCAGGCGGAGGCGTCGGGTTCAGGACAGTCACAGTACTCATGATAGACTGGACCTACACATTGAAAATAATGTTCAAGCTATTAATATATTTTTAATGCAACAGTTACCTTATTTTTGTGTTACAAGTAAGGAATTTTTTTTTTATTTGACTTTAATTTAATCCCACTTGAAACATGAAGCACAAAGAGGACATTTGTGGTGATAGCATTAATTCTGACACACAGACGTCGCATTTGTGACACTCGTCAATGATGTGACATCATCTTTAGCAGAAGTTTCCATCAAATGACAACATCATCGAGTGATTGGCGTAGTACCCCAAAACATTTCTACCTCTTACAGCTTTGCTCCTTTGTCATTTCCTCCCTCCTCGATAGAACATTTCTGGTGGGAGGTGCTGGCATGTAAACAAAGGAGCAAGGACCTAGGAACGTGCAATTAGAGGGATGAGTTGAGCCCACAGTCAATGTCACAGTCAAGTCCACTGAAAGCAACAAACACACGTGAGACAGGTGACATGTGATCCGTCAGTCGTCCGTGTTACAGGAGTCTGTCAGTGGCAGACTGAGAAGGTGAGTTAGTGATGACTCGGCTAGTGATGATTCCGGTGATGGTCCAAAACCCACTTCCGTCGGTGGAGTCTGTCAGGGTTTTTTTTTTTAAATTTTATTTATTTATTTATTTATTTTTAAAGTTTTCCATCAATGGTCATTCGCCAGCAAAACGGACGCCCATCAGTGAACGTCAGTCTTGTGAGAATGCCCACCTCTGCTTTCTATGTCACACACAAGCAGAGCAAAAGCAGTCACGAGTTTCAAAGAAAAAAAAAAAACAGTGGGCTATACCTTTCGACTGGGCCAACCTAGAATAGACGGGGTGCACATGGAGTGAGAAATGCAGGGCCTAGACTAATTTTTTTACTGGCTGCACTGGTGTGCCCAACTTCTTTTCTAGGTTGCACTAGCGCTAGAATTTTTTCACCCAAATTTTTGACCACATTACATTCACAGAGCTGCCAAATTAGAAATTCACTTCCTGAACAATTTTTAAAAAATATTCCTAATTATAAAATTCTTATAGTGGGACTGCATGAGGGGGTGTTTCATTATATACTGGATATTTAATTAATATTAATACTTAAAAAAATAAATCCGAATTATTTACTTCTCAGTGACATTTCAACAATGCACAGTGCACACACTTATTTTTAAATAAATGCATGACCCCAAAGTTGTCAGTGCCATTGGTCATTTTCATGTTAAGATAATTTTAAGGACCAAAATAAAAACAAATGATTACAAATATCACTCACCATCAAAAGAATTCATTCAATGAGCCATAGCCGTTTGTATTCCAAGTATCAATTATTATTATGACAGTAATAACACAATGCAATCTGAGAGCATTGTTAAGCCATCCATCCATTTTTTAAAACTATTTATCTTCACTAGTCTGCGCATTATTGGACATCACAATTTGGGGATGTAACTTAACTTTGTGTTACCGTTAGCCTCAATTACAGTTGCACTTACAGCCATTCTTGTGTTATGTATCTGGCATTGTGGGACGAGAGGCTCGACAGCGGAGGTCTGAATGGCTAGCTAAATTAGCCATTAGGTCAGCAGGGAGCGTCTGTCACAAGCAAATGAATAAAGGTAGGGAACCCCTGCGGATGTCTGTGACATATTAAAAACTGTGTAGCATTTTCTCTCTCCCTCCCCAACATACCAGTCAGTATGATGGCAGTCCGCAGCTGATACCGGGGCACAGCTCATTAATACTGGGGCATGTGCCCCAGTAAAAGGGAGCTGGTGACGCCTCTGGTGAGTGCCAACATAAGAAGGCTGCCAGTGGCTTTAAGTCTCGCTACGGTGATTAAGGGGGCATTAGCAGTTCAGGTTATTATATACATTCGTGCTGAAATAATGACATAAGGATGACTGATGGACCCACAACTGGTGTTTACACTATGTGCATGACAAACTAACCTCGGACGATGTAGGGTGATTTAGCAACAGCAGTTTCATGATGGAAGATCTCAACCTTCAGGCCCGTCGGTGCTGTATTGTACAACCGGTACCTCACCATGAAGGATCCATCTCCTCTGTCCAAAGGTGGGGGAACGTGGATGCGGACGTGCTCTTTCTTCTCCAGTGAAGTTATCTTCACTTTAAATGTGTCTTTACCTGTACAAGACCGTGATTATGATCATTCACATTCATTGAAAGTAAAAATGAGACGTCAGAGTACAAATTTCCCTTCGAAAATCTGACAGGGGTCTTCAATCCTGTTCCTCAAGGGCCACTTTCCTGGATGTTTTCCACCTCTCTGTGCTGCAAGCACACCTGCTTGAAATGATCAGATAATCAGCAAAGTCTGCAGAAGCTGGCTAATGATCGACATCATTTGAATAAGGTCTGTTGCAGCAGGGCAAGATGGAACACAGGCAGGACAGCGGCCCTCAAGCAACAGGATTGAAGACCCCTGAATTATTCTAATCTATCTTTTCATGAGACCTGGATGACGGCCAATGTAGTAACTAACCAGGTTCGCGCCAATGAATATTAATAAAGTCGTACCTGGAGATAAACTGAAATTTTCTCCTTTGAAATCGACCGCTTGAATGAAGAAGTAGCGGACCGGCAAAACTACATGAGGGTCAAGTCCTGGACCCCAGATGAGACAACTCCCTGGGCTGATTCTTTCGCAGTTAACAACCGTGATTTGTAAGCTAATAAATACAACGAAGACCAAATGAACACACGGTAAAGCATGATGAAAAAGCGTGAGCGAGTCTACGTTACGTTTAAACATTGTATTGCGTGGTAGCCAGATAGCTCAAAGATTGACAGAAAACTTTTACTTCTCAGGCGACATGTTGGCTCAGATGGACACGCCCACTAAGCGGTGATGCATTCAGGTTCCGTCGAACATTTTCCAATCCAACAGTAAACGTCACATTCCTGGACTACTGCCGTTTAACTTTTTCACACGATTGATGAAAATCAAATCCAGTTTAGTTCATATAGTGTACATTGCCATAGCCTACATAATCCAAATCAAGTTAATTCTTTCTATACAGCATGTGGCTGTAAAAACACACCGGCAACAACAAAGAAATTAGCCAGTCGGTTGCTATGTGCTAGTCTTCACAGTGCTTCAGGTGACTGCTGGTCGTCATAGGTAGGCTGTGTACTCGGACTGTAATTTTATACAATGCATAAGCAAAGTTACAGTATTGTCTATGTGGCACTAAGCACTGAGACATCATTGTTAGACACACTCACATTTTAGAAGATGGGAACAAAAACTTTATTGCAATTTGAAAGTGTTAAAGAACACCCGGCATAGTTACAGGGACGATTGTTATAATTTCAATATCAGTATGCAAAGATGTGTTCTGATTTGTATCCCAGCTTCTCCAGATTTGGCAGACACGCATACTGGATCATTGGTGGAGGACCACACAAAACAACAAGAACATCTGAGGATGCAGGTGGGAGGTGAGCCTGGATCATAGTTGCAGTCACAAACCCGGAACTGTACTTCCAACCTATACAGTGGATAACAGGGAAAGGAGGGAGGAGCAGAAATGGTCACGAATTACTGAAAGGTCAAGACGTTTTAGACTTGTCAGGTCAAGCCAGACTTAAAGCCGATAGAGCATGCAATTTTCCTGCTCAAAACAAGACTGGAGAGAGTACCCCCCCCCCACCCCCTCACAAAACAAACAAAAACTGAGATAAGCTGTCGTGAAAGAAAAACACCAAGGAAGAATGCAAACGTCGGGTGATGTCTGTGGTTGAGGCTCAATGCAGTCATTTCAAACAATGTGCAGCTTTAGATGTCAATCCAAATATCTTAGCTCTACGGCAAAAATAAAGGAAGTAGCCTCACTGTTCCAATAAGAGGAGGTGAGTACACTCCCCAAATCATTCCGTTCGCAGTGGAACACCACTTTCTGTTTCTGTTTGTCATCAATAGTGTTTGCTTGCCGGGTAATGCATGTAAATCAGTGGCGGACCCTGAGGGCCAGCAAGGCCTTCTCTGCTGGCCTAAACATTCTCAGAAAAGTTTCTGAGAATAACATAAATTTGTTATTTTATTTTCATAAATATGTTAACAAAATGATTCTCTGTATTCTTTACGTCATATTATTTCCACTTAGTTGAGTTGAAAGCCACTCGAAAAATAACTTATTTATTACCGTAGAGTTTTTAACCAATCATATTTCAGCTAGCTTGTGTTGCCAGGTAAATTAAACTTGCTCGTGGCCTTCAGATTGAACAGCGCAGGCCCCTGTGCGCTGTAAATGAACGGGCACCGTCAGGTTTCAATAGCCAATCTCTGGCTGAGTCTGAGACTCGTGATCTGTATCCTGTATCCTGACTTGTTCTCGTCTCCTACTAGGGCTAGCTAGGAGGCCTTAAGTCGAGACTGGCCATGCGCGTTCGGTGATTGGATTAGGGCCTTTTCTGTTTCCTGAGAATTGTATCCTGACTTGTTCAATAAAGATTTAAAAAAAAAAAAAAA